AAAGAGTGCCAGGAAGCGTTCATGGGTACTGGAGCTCAATTGTCTATACTGCTAAATTATTAGAATAGTTCCTGGCATGGTTTTAAGTTATGCCAAACATCCTTTCCCCAGACAGTTCCTAGGCACAGTTAAGCATGGACCAGACATCATTCCCAATAAGCAGTTTCCGCGCGGTCATCTTTTTTGAGGGGCTGAGAATTTGATAATATGGACATAGTCCACTCTGTGCCTGTTGGTCTCAGTGCCAAAGGAACATTTCCTGTCCCATTTAATTTCCTAGCACAGACATAGCCGCTGTGTTACAGTCTGATCCCTGCTTTGTTCCTGTAGCTGTGCAACTGAGCGCTGGTCTGTACTTAAAGTCTGTGGCAAACCAAAATGTAGTCTTTTGTGTCTGTGTTACTCAACCCCATCCCTAAGCCTCTGTTTGTCTTTTTTGAACTGTATGCTACTCAGACAGCAACTATATTTGGAAAGGGCTGTGTATTGTGAGATCCATTTAACTTAAGCAGTTTTCCAAAAGCTAAAATCTGCTCTGTAAAGTAAATGGAAATTAAATGAGACTGACGCAATGCCTAGGTCTTACGTTCACTTTGCTAGTGAGCAGATACTTACCACTGATTTGACTTTTCATCAGGAGCAGGTACCATGAACTGCAGGATTGAAACTCCTGGGGCTAGATGATCCCAGATAACAAAATCTGTCATGTATAATAAGGGAGAAAGCTGTATTTCAAAATGAAGTTCTTTTTCTTCTCTCACTCTAAATGCAGCTGTCCCCTTGCTTCTCACTGAGCACATTTCCTTCTTTAGGGGGTCAGACACAGTCTCAGTAGACTTTTGCAGATGTTCTTTTCCTTTCTAATACCTCTCAGATGTACATTTCATTTCTTTTCATCCTGAAGTGCTGCCTTAATCTATTGACATTTAAATTGTTAAAAGCAGCGATCTGCAGCTACTGATACTGCTTTTATCTCACATCATCCCATCTTATCTGGTTAGTGAAAACACAAATATGCACTGGAAAAGGAGCATAGTTACTGCTTTAATTATGCACTCCTTCCAGTGTATGGATTAGTCTCTTTTGTATGTTGCTCAGACTATGTAATACAAATGTCATAGGGTATCCTCAGGATAGGCAGAGTGGGCTGAGAAGCTAAAGGAGAAAAAGGAGCTAATCTGACCCAGGAGTCTTCTGAGGTGGTTGGAAAAAGAAGGGACAGTGAAATTCAGGGAGTTTGAGGGTGTGAAGGAAGCAGACAGGGAATGTGAGGGAAGGCAGAGCGCATGGGACATGGTGGGGCAGCAGGCTGAGTCCACTTGGATGCCTACACATGAGCAACAGGGGAGGTTAGTCATGTTGGGTGACACTGTCAGGGGGGATACTGGCATGTGGTATGAAGGCAGAGGCAAGGGAGAGGAGCCAGGAGGCAAGGGACAGCTGGGCAGAACCTGGCTGTTGTAAGAGAGGAGCAAAATAAACCAGGTAGGGTGAGGAGAAGCAAGGAGGAGTCAAAGGAGGGAAGCTTACTTGATGGGAGGACTGAGATGCAACATGGTCACTAAAGCCTACAAACTCTCAAGTATTCAGGAGTCTTGTGCTGAATTTAGGATCTCTTGTCAGCATGTGTGCATGAACTCCTTTTCCTACAGAAATCACCCTGTGCCACATGACATGTTTCTCAGACTTCAGGAGAGGCAGAATTTAATGAAATGTGCCAATGAAGGTGGTTGGTTTCTTCATCCTAAAAATGGGACTTTATCAAGCAGCTCTTTATCAAGTGCTGTATCTCTCAGGGAGAGCCTGTTTCACTGGTGGTGTGGCTTACCTAAGCAAAGCATATTTTCATTCTAAGTCAGAACTGTGTTAAAGAGGAAATGATGATCTAGTTGTTCAGTCTCACCATATCCTGTGTTCAGAATAATTTTCATTTCTACTTATCTGCAAATGTTAATGGAATGTCCACAAATATTTTCTTGGTTTCTATGGTAAGAGAGAGTGTGAAACTGTCAAAACCACTGCATCATCTGCATCATCCTGTGCTTTTCAGGAGAAGACCCTGACCACTAGAGGGGTCATCTGTAGCATTACTTGTGTGCAAACTGACATTCAGTGTATTTTGATCCTTTTCAGGTTCACATTTTGAAACACAGACTTACTTATTACAAACCACAAAGGTTACTTGGTCACTTTTATAATTACAGAGTTACGACGGACTATAACAAAACAGATTACTTCCTCTTTGACTATAAAGCAATCAGACGTTTGCTGGAATTTTAACTGTGAGACTTTGGAAATGTATATTTTTGAAAAGGTTTAAGTTTCCAAATTACTCAGAAGTAAAATCTCCAGGTCCCTGTGTGTGCGTGCATGGAGCATCGCAGGGTACAAACGCCTGGGGAAATGTGCCCAGTAAGTGGTCACGTGGGAGAAGCAGCTAACATGTTGCACGCTTCTGCAGCCTTCTGAACACAGCACTGTGCCCCCTGAGCCAGCACCTGGGGACTAGCCACTAGCTGCAACAGTCTTCTCTGGAAACAAGCAACTTCCCTGGAAAACAGACTGCAGTTTGGAGCACACATTGTCAGAAGTATTCAGACTGTGCAGACACAACCATTCATCCCCTAATCCTTTGCCTGTGAGAGCACAGAGCCTTAATGTGGCAGGGCTGAGGGGACTGGGGAAAGTAAAGCACCCTTTCACTCTGTGTGAGAAGAGCCATGTGGATCTCAAACCAGGAATCATGAGGTTTCGTGGTATTCCCACAGATCAGAGATCACAGAGCTCTTACTTCTGATGCCACACCCAGCCACTGACAAACAATAATGACTTGGAATTGTTATATCTAATTTCTCAAAGCAACACTTCTTAAGTAAGCTTTTCCACAAATTTACTGAGAGGCTAGAAGTGCAGTTCAGTTTCAGAGCTATATCTGCATCAGGAAAAATACGTATGTGTTTTAGGAGGAAATCCATGTGACTCAGATAGGGCAGCTCCAGTAAAATCCCTAAGCTCCTGTACCTTTGTCTTCTTTCCCTGGAGAGTGAATCTCTGAAGAAACTTTCCTGGTTTTTATCAGGAGAAATATTTTGGCAAAAGCATCAGTGGTATCTATGGTACCAAATCAGGAACAAGACAAATGGAGTTAAATAATGCCCAACTTCCACACAGGAATCTGTTTCTGTGGACAGGTACCTGGAAGTCTGCTTTGCCAGTGCAGTACTTTGCACTGTCATATTGAACTGTTTCAAAGACAAATTTTATGAATAGAGATCAAAGTGTTTAAGAGGACTGTTAGCAAATATAACCACTTGTGCAAATATCCGTGAACCTCCCTTCAATAGCCATTCAGAAGTTCCAAAGGCTGTCAGGGCATGTAATGATTGTAATAAATGTTTTATTTGCTTTTGTTTCAGCTGGCTTTGACCAGCAAATTCGGCTGATTACTTCCATTGTTATTTTTGCTTAGAAGACAATTATTTTGTTATCATTAAAAAAAACCCCACTCTTCTTATGCATTTCTTTGTACCGGTCGTGAAATTCAGAACTCGCTATCCTAGTTAACAAGCTTTTTAAAGTTATTCTTGTGTTTGCGTTTGTTTCTTTTCAGTGGTTTTGCTTTTTTTCATGCTCCTTCTGAATGCTGCGTCTCCAACTTTTGCGACTGTAGGAGAAACAAAGCAATAATTGCTGAGACCCTCTGTGCTCCCAGATTAATAGTCAGAGGTTTAAATTATAGCACACAGTAAGAAAATACTGTTATTTAGCTGATGATCATGTGTTGTTATGGCTGTATTGTAACTGTATACATTAGCAGGATACTCCCATGGCTCTAAGATTATATTCCATCAACATAATAGATCAGGCAGGACTCTGAAGAAGGTCCTTGTGTTCTTCTGTAAATACACTGAAGATACAGTCAGCTTTGTCTGTATTTGGTCTACGTGTGGGAAACAAAAGGATAAATATAAACTGTCCCATCTCTGTTGTGGGTCCAATAAGCAGGACACATCAAAGTACATTGACGAAGCAGTACCAGTAAAATTCCCACTGGATGTCTACAGCATGTTGCAACATGACCACCAGGACAAGAACAGCCTAAAAGCAGACACTTTACGTGGCTTATGTCCCTGGGAAAAGAGTGTGTCATTTGGAAATGAATTCTGAGAGAAGTTACTGCTGGTCTAACCAGCAGCACATGGGCAGAGACTCACAGAGTTAGAAAGCTCAGGAATCTGCCAGCGATCCCTATGCTCTGTTGCTCAGTTGAAAACTGAGTTTGAGGTACCTCTAGTGTGTAAGGTAATACCTTTCATAAGGAACATCTTTGAGGATTGACTTAATCAATATGAAATTGATTAAAAAAAAAAAAAAGTTGTTTCTTCAGCAAGAACTTTTGAGACAGGTCAGACACGTTCACCCATCTTGGCCCATACACTTGAACTAACCCCATTCCTTTAGCAATAAATAATACTTAGACTATGAAGGGCATAGGACAGACAAGTTTCTGATTTGTCCTATGGGTAAACCCATGTCATTCCTTAGCTTATTTGTTTCCAGTTTGGCTCTGGTGAATACATCTAAGGGGTCCACAAAAGTTAAATAACTTATTAAGTAGACTGACGTTTGCTCCATGGAGAATCCAGATCTCCACTGGAAAGTGTTTGGAGGCCTGTAAGTTGCAACAGTGTCAGTGTTTCTCATAGTGTGCTGTGATATAGTGATATCACACTAACACTGGACTCTATTACTGTATTTTTGCTGAACTGGACTGTTCTTGGCATGAAGTGCTCTCATTTCCCAACTCATCATCACTGCAGCTATCTATACTAAGGTTTTCCTTACAAGGCCCTTTTCTGTGCACTGGCCAAGACAGTTTGCCCTAATTTGTGAAATTTATGGTTTGGATTAAGGTAAATGGGAGCTGTATACACAGCACGCATGAAGTTGTATTTATGTAACTAAGCATGCTCTCTTTTATGTTCATTTTTGTTTTACAGGTTGTTACTTTGTGGTATAGAGCTCCTGAAGTTTTGCTTCAGTCCAGCTATGCAACACCAGTCGATCTTTGGAGTGTCGGCTGCATATTTGCAGAAATGTTCCGTCGAAAGTAAGAAATACGGTTTTATTTTCTTCATGGTTGAGACAAAGGGGCACATTTGAAATTTTAAAAAATGTGCAATAATGTCTGGTACAGTACACCGGATCACGTTTATATTGGAAAGGCCTGATAGGATGTTTTATTTGCAGTGCATCATTTAAATGCCCATTGCTAATTCATACTTGTTGCTATCTTGGAATCTTTATTTTCTGATACAAGTTTTGGTAAAGCCTATGTCAACATTGATATATTCCTGTTACATGTAAGTCCAAATGCAATTAAAAGTGCGTTAGAGAGGCTGTTGATCAAGTAAAGCAGGGTTCTAGAAAGGATTTACCATGAGGAAAGCAGGGCATGGTGGTCAGCAGTCTTCTTGCTCTGGAGTTTGCGCACTGGAGCATCAGGTGTTTGCTTATAGTCCCCTCTTTGCATATTTAAGATCTCAAAAGTCACTGTAAAGTGGATTTCTAGAAGTAGGAAACAAAGGTAGGATTTTTTAAAGAATAACTTGTTTAGCCTGAGTGTAGGGTAACAGAAATGTTAAATGTAGTAAAAAAAAAAAATAAAAAATCCATCAGATAAAAGACTTGTTGGGGGAGCTGATTCAGTTAAGTTGGCTATCAGAACTGTCATGCTGCAGAATGTTACTGCTGGATGCAGAGTTGTGAATATGAGAGGAACACTTGTGTACTAGTCTTTCCCCATGGGAGGACACCAACTTGGAAGTTGTACCATGTAGGGTTTGGAGAGGAACAAACCCTCAGGAACCTTAACAAGATGAATCTGTCTCAGTGTTAACCCAGTCACATGCATTTTGGTTGAGTTTACTGCAAAAAGTGTGTGTTGTCATCCTGGGTGATCTCCATCTAGAAACTCTATAGCATTTTGTACACCCACTGTAGAATCAAAAAATACACATAAAGAAAATGTGAAAGAAAATTACACATTGGGTAGCCTAAAAACCAAAATCAGTATAATTTACAAAGAGAAGCCATACTGCAAGGGCCTTGCAAAACTATTTAATTTATACAGTGTTAAGTTCAAAATACTAATTGAAGTCTTGAAAAATAACTTTAGGGTTCTACTACTTATTAATGTTAGTATATGGAAAAATCATTTTTCTTGGGCTTCTTGCCTGCTCAAATGGCCTGGGTAGAATTATTACACTCCACCCTCTCTGCTTCTGACTCAGAAGTGAGGTCAGAAAATGTGAGAAAAAAAGAATTTGGATTTAGGAGAATCAATTAAACCCTCCATTGCAAACTTTTAAAGATTTAGTCTTATCCCATATACTGCCAGATTCTTAACAGCATTAAGCCACTGATATTTTTTCTAATTTGAATAGCAGAGTCAACAACTTAATTTTAGCATTTTCAATAAGAGCAGTACAGGACAAACAACTGAACTCAGAACTTTATTACATGCTTTTTTCTCATGTAATTTGCAGTATTCTTACAGATATGCAATATTGCCGTATACAAGTGCCACCAATTTAATTTAGTTTTTCCTTTTATGATGTATAAGCCTCACCGACTCTCCAAGTCCAACATCGTAAATTAAATTAGGGACAGTTCAATTTTCTACTTGATTACAAATGCAAATATTACATTAATACATTTTTTATGGAAATGAGATCAGGCTTATGGCAGAGTTTGATAAAGCCAGGACATGTATTATTCTTGCCAAATGCAGGGTCAGTCTGACATTCTTAGTCCTAAATTTGGGAGTCTATCAAAAACCGTAGAGGTCGGGAATCTGCCAAGCCTGTATGTACTATGTTATTTCATTGGAATCAATATGACTTTCACATACAAGCATGATTTGGAAGGCTACTCTCAAGGCGCATTGCCATAAAGCCACAATGAACAGCACCAAGTGCTATCTCCATGGACAGTTGTATGGGGTTAATGTTGCAATACTCTCTATATGATATATGTTGTCTTTTGATTCTCCTGATGGATTGCAAAAGAAAACCCATGTTACTGTGACCTTGGTAGCAGCAAACTGTAAAATTTTGCAAACTCCATGGATTATTTCCAAAAGATTGAACAAATGCAAGAGCTATTTCTGCTGGAAAATGGTAGTGCCCTTGGGTAGTCACTGATCCGTATTTCCACTGGTGTTGACAGGATAAGAGTATGAGAATGCGGCTAAAGCTTAGAAGTAGATGTTGGTTTGACATTAAGACAACCTTTTCTTTTTAGTGTGGTACTGGGTACTTGTTGCGTTCTTTCCCTGCTCTTTTTTGCTTTCTCTATGAAAGGTTTTAAAGGTCTGTCATTTTTAAGAAATGTACTGAGGCTCCTCTAAGCTTTTTTACGGTTTTTTACAGTTGATAGTTTGAGTTTTCTAGAATATAGTTTTGTAGGAAAACACAGCCAGGTTGCTATAGGTTTGGACAAGCGTAGGAGAGATGTCAGCTCTGTATGAATGTTCCAGTTCTATGTAACAAATTGCTGTGTCTCTGAGTGGAAGGCACCTCATTTAATTTAAATCACCCTTAATCCAAAGCCATTTAAGACAAATGCAAACAAAGTGTTTGTCTACGAAATAAATCTAAAATACACAAAAGTGTATAAAGGAATTCATAGGCACAAGAAATAAAGTAAATACATCTCTGTCTAATACACCTAGAGTAAATTTTAACATTTCTTTCATCTTGGCTGACGCAGCTAAACAAATGACAGTTCTCAGCTGAGGACTCTGGTCCTCCTGCAATCTGAGGTATGTATAAAGTCATAGCTATATTTAAAAAGCACACACTTTAAATATGGTGCAGATTTGTAGGCCTCTGCATATGTGAAGGCACAAAGGTTGTATCTTGAAATCCCTCACACAGATTCCTATGGACAGACTATCCTTACCCAACAAAAGCGTAAATATGTTTGTCACAGTAACTGTTTTCTTTGTGATTCAAAAGCTATGGTGCCTTAAGAGTAACAACCAGTAAGGAAAATTATGAGGTATGCTGTGGCTTGCTGCTGTATCACAAAATCTGTCAGAGGTGCAGCGGGCAGGACTTGACAGGGCCCAGTGGCATGGGGGCAGCCTTTGGCACAAGAAGATTAGCATTATGTTTTCTTTACGTTTAGGTAAAATATGGGTTACTTATAAAAAGGTTTCGCTCTGAGGCTGAGCATTTTCCTGGCCAGTCGGAAAGGGCTTTGTACCTCCTACTTAGTGAACAGCTCATTAAAGAGAAAGGCAAACATGGGAGTAGCATCCACTTCTGTCTGGACACATAAAACTTCCAGCTGGCTCAAGGACTACAGGCAGCTCCAAAGCAGGAAGCCATGACCAGTATTTCTGGGAAGAAGTGACTGTCTCTCTTCTTGCTTGGATTAGGTAAATCTTAATCAATTTGAATTAGTGTGAGAGGGAAAGAAAACTGGAATCTGAATCTGGGTGAAAGACAGCAGAGATCACCAGTCTTGAACTCAGGCAGTCATGTAGGCATTCATGAGAAAAAATGTCAAGATCTTTTGATGCTTAGCTCTTAGTGCACCTATACATGCCCAGTCTTCAAAATCACAATCCTGTAAGTTTTCGATCCTGCGCACGAGGGTGTTAGTGTGTGTGTATGTAGGACTCATCAGTTGGATATCTATATAATAATACCAGCTAGGCAAGTTTAACTGGAATATTGCACAAACAACTGAGTTTGTCTTCCTTTGTAGTAAATATAGAGCGAAAAATCTTCAGAAGAGATCACCGGTTTTTGTAGCTGATGCTATATTCACAGCCCACTCAAGCTGAAGAAGTCCTGCATTTGAGAGTGGCCGGTGTTGTGACTGCATGCACCATCTTCACGAACCTTAGGGGTACCAATTCAAACTCAAAAATTGAAACACTGTCCTCTCCCACCTCCCCAAACCAAAAGTAAAACAGTATTATCTCAGTGCCCCAAGCTTCATCCAGCTGAGCAAAATTAATTCCAGGCACATGGGCTTCTTACTGAGACCATCTATGCACCAGTTCCATGGTGTTTTAATCAGCCTGCTGTTGGAAGGTCATCAGTCCCAGAATTTCATAAACCACATGATTGGCACAAATAGAATGAGGTTATTATTTATTTTTAAATGTTAAATCATTTTTTTAGCAGTTGTCTCATTTTTCAACTTTCTCTGCCAGCTCCTAATATATGTGAGACAGTTATTGCCATACCAGCCATGCTTGAAAATTGTAGCAGCAGTTAAGTGATGTGTGGCTCTACTAAAACATCTATGATGGGATGAGTTTCCTGGTGAGCTTGAACAACAGGCGTAAGGAAACCAGCTATAGGCGTGTACTTATACCATCTTTTAATGGTATACATTTGTCCAGTTAGAGTTACATCATTGTGTGTAGAAAAGCCAGGATTCCAGGACTTTGTTGCTCTAGGTAATGTACACAGATGTGATAAAATCAAAGCTTAGAGCCTCATCTGGTGATCAGGCTGTGAACTCTGGATTTGGGCCCTTAATTGTAACACTTTTAAGAGGTTTAAAAAACCTAGCAATACACACATATACTTTCTTAGACACTTACAGTCTAAAGTAATTGTAAAGAATAGTTCACACAAAAATAAGTGTAACTTTATTACCCTCTCCACATAAGCCAGAGGTTATTACTAGTGTTTAAAATGCAGCCACCAGACATACTGCATGCACTTTTTCTGTGTCAACTCCAGAACCAGGTGGTAGGATAGATCTGATCTGTGGACAGAGATGTGGCACCCACCTGCCCCTGGATTCTTCCTCTTTTTGTGAGTGAGGGAAGAGCAGTAAGGTCTGCAGCTTAAGTTTCAGTTAATGCTTTGTGGGATAAATATGATCAAGTGGTTGCAGAAGAAAATACCAAGTGTAACAGAGGAACACCTGTTTTTAAGCTGTCTCCAAAACCTGAAGCTGGATAGGAAACTTTGAACTTCTATTGCTGAGAGAAAAGAATAACTCTTTTTAGCTGGATCATGTGGTAAAGTCTTGGCTCCGCCGAAATCACTGTTGAAATTAACCCTGATTCCAAAGAGA